CGCGATTAAAAACACCCTGAATTTTAACCTGTGATATGCCACAAAACTGGAAGGAGTCGCTCAATTTATTTTTCTTTCAAATGCTTTTTATTATTTAAAAAATAATAATAACAAAACAATTGTACATATTAGTCAACATGCCAACAATCAGTAATGTGTATTAAGTTTGATAAAAAAAATTCTGTATGAATAAAAATTTAAATTGTTTATGCATTTATGTGAGTGTTATATATTAAGGTATACACACAGTAAGTAATAAATCAAATATAAGTGGTTTCATTAATTTCGGTCAGGTGGAAACATTGTCAAGCTTGTACTTACTCCTCATAGCTTTTTCTCATTCAGACCAATCATGTCTGAGAAATACATTAGTAGCTAAAGGTACACGGAAAGCGAGTTCACAATGTTTATTCTCAAATAATAACAATAAAACTTCTGTAACAGAGTGAATAGTATTAGATTTCCAATATCTTGGAATGACTGTTGTAGCTGAGATAAGGAGATGGCCTAACATTATTCTTTTGTGTGCTGCTAAGTTATGTGGGAAACGTTTAAGTAGGCACAAACCAGGGGTTAAATCAACAGGCAACTCTGTGATGGATAAGATCCATTTGAAAATTACTTGCCAATAATTTGATAATTCCAGGCATGACCAAAAAATGTGATACAATGTACCTATCTGTCTACAGTCTCTCCAACATAAATTAGTTGTGGAAAGATGTAATCTGAACATTTTAAATGGAGTAAAGTGCCATTGATAAATTAATTTTAGATGAGTTTCTATCTGATTTATACATTGCGTGATAGTCTTCAGTGCAAGTAGTGAGGCATGCCAATATCCCACTGTGAGTACCTCACCCAGATCACTCTCCCACTTTGTCATATATGGCAATTTCATGCTTATTTCACCTTCAAAACAGGCATAGCACATGGAGATGGTGCATTTATGGCCAGGATTAAAGATGTAAACCCTTTCTAAATTGACTATTCCAATTTTCTAGAACTCAGATCCTGGTCAGAAATTCCCAAATATTTGCTAATTTTTTTTAACCAAACTTGCATGTGTGGGGGTGTCTAAAAGGCTCAGTTTAAATTTACTTTGGAGTTGTTCAAATGTTAAAAAAGTAAAGGTGAAAAATATATCATTAATACAATGAATACAATGAGAGGACCAATATTTTACCTCTAGTTCAGGTATAACTTATTTTAGTAGAGCTAGAGGAGTGGCTCTAGACCAGACAGCAGTAGGATGATTTTTCTGATACAGTATATTCCATGCTTTTATAGTAGTTTTGGTAGTGAGAAACATGTCCGCCATCCCTGTGCGCTGAGATGGAAGCAACCATAAGATATCTTTAATTGAATGTGGTGAGAGTTTGCTAGCCTCCATCTTAAGCCAAAGAGGATGGTCATGCTCTTGGTTGAACTTCAGTGCCATCACTGTATTAGTTGCGTAATAATAATGGATAAAATCTGGCAAAACCACACCCCCACTAACCCTCAGCTTTTGAAGTATGGACAATTTAATCCTTGATGGTTTACCATTCCATATGACTTTCAAGAGAGCAGAATGTACCTTTTGATAAAAGGATAAAGGAATCAAAAGGCGGATGGTTCTAAAAAAATATAAATTTTTTGGAAGGAGAGTCATCGTTACCGAATTAACCCTGCCTCACCATGACATTTCTAGGCTATACCACTTCTCAAAATCGTTCCTAAAGTTGGACCAGATCAGGTTATAATAATGCATCCAGGTTATAATAATGCATCTTCAACAGGTTCTTGCGTAGGTTGATGTCTAGATAAGAAATATAAGAGTCCCTCCATTTGAAGTCAAACCAACATTTTAAAATGTCTAGGTCATACCAAGGTATGAAGAAAGAGAGAGCTTGAGTCTTGGCTGTATTCAGATTGTAGAACAAAATTTCACCGAATTCCTGCAGGGTCGCAATCAATGGAGTAAGGGAAGTCATTGGATTAGTGATAACATGATGTCATCTGCAAAAAGGCCTATTTTATGTTCTTTACTCCCTACTACAATACATTTGATACTGCACTGTGGGGGCTTCATTGCCAGCACAAACAGGAGTGGAGACAATGGACAACCCTGTCTAGTACCATTGGACAATGAAATGTTTTCGGAAACAAAACCGATACTCTGGCAGTTGTTTGACAGTATAGTGCAAACACAACCCTGATGAAGGGGTCTGGAATGTTAATGCACGACAGAACTTCCCTCAGGTAATCCCAATGGATCCTATCGAACTCCTCCTCCACATCCACAGAGAGGAGCAAAGAAGGCGTGCAAGTAGATTTAAGATGATTAATCAAATTGATGAAATGCCTGGTGCCATCCTGAGCCTGATGATTCTGTATGAAACCAACATGGTCTTTATCAATTAGGGAGGGAAGAAGTCGATTAAGTCTATTGGCTAAACTTTTTTAAATAAATATTTGTGTCATTGTTAATTAATGAAATGGGGCGAAAATTTGAGCAGACATTAGGTGTTTTACCAGGTTTAGGTAGCGTGATTATTTGTGCACACAAACCCTCCCCTGGCATTCCACCTGTATTCCAATAATGTTTAAAAAGACACGTTAAATGAGGGGTAAGAATGCCAGAGAAAGACTTATAGTACCTCATGGTAAAACCGTCAGGCCCCAGGACTTTGCCTTGAGGGATCATATTAATGGTGTCTGTAATTTCTTTTGTGGTGATGGAAGAATTTAAAATATCCAATTTATCCCCAGGTAATTGTTTTAACGAGACCCTGTCCAGTAGAGAGCGTATTGTATCAGATGTGGGCTGTATCATAGTGGTATCGGAATTCAAATTGTACAATGTTTTATAGTATTCTGCAAACATAGTACTGACTTTTACTGGATGAGAAACTTTAACGCCATTATCATCCACTAAATGCTCAATTCTGGATTGGGAAATCCTGTGGTGCACTTTAGAGGCCAACAGTGATAAGGCTCTATTCCTATTAGCATAAAATACCTGTTTCAATCTCTTCCACATCAAAGCTGTGTATTCCAACTGGAAAGTGTTGATTTTAACCTTAACTTCAGAAATCTTTGCAGCAAGGGGTAAGGAAGGGCTAATATTGTTTGCCTGATTCAATTAATACAATTATTTTTCTAATTCTCTCAAGTTTTTGGACCAAATTTTTTTCAGATAGGAAGCTCGTTGTATGAAGTGACTCCTGAGAACTGCTTTATGAGCATTCCACAACAAGGTATCCTGTAAATATTGGGCCAAATTTTCCCTGAAGTAATTGTTAATCACTGATTCAGCTAAAGCTTTATTCTCAAGCTCAGTGACCAAATTGTCACTAAGTCTCCATGGTCTGTTTGGGTTCGACTCAAAAGACTCCTCTATACACATCATTATGGGGGCATGATCAGACCAAGTAATGTCCAAAATATCAGAACATGTAACAAGAGCCTGTCGATCTGAGAGTACATGTTATAAACTGCTGAGTGATAAGTGTAGTCTTTCTCTCCTTCATGCTGTACACGCCAACAGTCAAATAAGCCCTGAGAAAAAATTAATTTGGAACCAGACTCAGTCAATTTTTCACTGTTATTTTTTTAGCTGCACTATTTACATCTCAGACAATATCGTATTCACAATCCAGAACAAAATTAGTATCACCACCCAAAATCAGTCTGCCTCTGACCTCATCTGAAACCTTGATAACGATCAATTTCAAAAAATGAAATTGCCCAGAGTTAGGGGAGTATAGATTTACCAGAGTACACCCAACATTATTTACTGTACCTTTCCAGATTAGATATCTGCCATCTGGATCCAAAGTCACATCCTCTGTATGACAAACCACGCTTTTGCTGAAAAATATGGAGACACCCCTAGATTTCTTTACAAAATGTAGAGTGATACTGGGTGGGGTAGTCTTTCTTTAAAATATTAGGTACATTATCTTTTTTTTAAAATCAGTCTCCTGAATGAATAAAACCCCTGGCCCATTACTCTTTACCTCTTTGAATAAAAGTCTTCGTTTGTGCAGAGTGTTCAGTCCCCTCATATTGAATGATAAAAACTTTAAAACCATACCCATTGCTCAAAAAGAGCGAATAAGAATGAAAGAAAAAATTGGTGAAGGAATCCGAACACACTGCACAACTCGAAATATGTTTTACAATTTATCAATCCCATTTGAGTAAGTGGGATCCACCTGACCGATGTTTGTTTAGCTCTGTGTATCCCTGATTTATTTATCAAAAATATGACACCGAGAAAATAAAGTAGCACAATGTGGATGACATTATAAGTATTTTTTTTACTAATAAAGGGAAAAATAAAAAAAATAAAAATAAAATATTTACAAAAAAACAATGCCTTGAGTGGGGAATGTAAAATTATCTCTATCTCAAAAAATATACAGGCCTCTGTTGGGGTTGAGGAGATCGGGGTCAAAGGGCTATATATATATATATATATATAGAGAGAGAGAGAGAGAGAGAGAGAGAGAGGAAAGGAGAAACCAAAAATTAATACAAAAATTGAGAGAAAAGAAGAAAAAAGGAACAAGGGCACAAAACAAGAAAAAAAAATCGAAAACAGATAAATTAAAATTTAAAAAAAGAGAGAAATACGTTTTTTTTGTCATCAAAGTATATTTTAAATGTCTAAAACTCTACCTAAGTAGATCAACATCAAGAATTTTTAAAGCAATAACCAAAAAGCAAGAGTTAAAAATCCAGTGACCACACTCGAATCTCCAGAGTGAGTAACCCGGAATCTACAGAAGAATCACTGCAGGCTTAAATCTGGAACCAGGAACCATTGTAGCAGATCTATACAGGAGGAACGTAAAGCCATGAACCAGAAATCAGAAGCTTTATTTCCATACATCCATGAATAGTATGTTTGTTTGGAAGCATAGAGGTAGCAAACAGGATACCAAAAGGGAGATGTAGATTTTGGACAAAAACACGACCAATAGTCAAAACAGGAAAATAAAAATATTTTGTGATCAGCGGTGAGACAACGCTTCTCTTCGTTTTATCTTCCTGGGGAGTGGAGGAGTTAATGGAGATCTATGTGCTGGGATTACAGGATCAAAGCCTCTTAAAGTGTGAATAACCTCCATGCCTTCTTCAGGTATAGTTATGATATATTGCTGTCCATCCAGACCAAACAATACTTTTACAGGAAACCCCCAATGGTTCCTGATGTTCAGTTTGTGCAACTCAGCTGTAAATGGGCTGAATTCTCTTCTGCGTTGCATAGTTATAGGGGAAATATCCTGGAAGACTTTAATATGCTTGTATTCGTTTGGAAGGTCAGATGTTCTCAATGCCAACAGGAAATCCTCTTTAACTGTGAAGAAGTGGATCCTCGCTATTCTATCCTTTGGAGCATCTTGCGGAGCAGAATTGGGCTTGAGGAGTCTGTGTATGCGATCAATTTTCAAGTCTTTGTCACTCAGGTTGGGGCAAACTGACCGCATTTTAGCCTTTAAATATTCCTCCAATTCCTTTGGCTGGATAGAGTCAGGGATCACCTTGACTCCGATGTTGTTCTGTCTGCTCCTATCCTCCAGCTCATTCACTTTAGCATGCAGATAATCAGTTTCAGATTTAATTTTGAGTTCAAGTGATCTCATCCTTTCAGTGAGGTCATCTTGTACTTCAGCATGTTGTAGCAATATAGACTTAATTTTTACATTTTTATTCTCCAACGCAGACACTTTTTTACCAATTGTAACAATATCCTGTTTCAAGTCTTCTCTGATGGTTTGAAGCATTTCCCAGATTAATTATATTGATGCTTGTGGTCCTGCAACTTATCTTTTGTCAGATATGATTTAAACCCTGTCAATACAATTGTGGCAGTGTTTTCAGCAGCAGCTGTGTCTGCTCTCTGAACTGGTACAGTATCAGTGGCAGTAATTTCACTCCTGTCTGCACGCGTTGACACCCAGCAGGTTAGTGCTGTGACAGATTCATTGTCCCGAGATGTTGCGAACACACTCGCGGCATCCCCTGAGCTCTCATCCTCAGAGACCCATTCGTTTCCCGAACTGGGTCTCCCTTTGTGTCTGCTCAGTGTGGTTTTTGCATGCACAGCCCAGCTAGCCATGGCCGTAGCCTTCACTTCCTCCCCGCTCACGACCACAGCAGAGCTTCCAATCAGACTTCTGCTTCCCTCACTTGCATAGGGGGGTGTCAAAGGTGCGCCTGCCACCCCCCTAAAGCCTCTGTCATCTGAGGTACGTTCGGCTCATGAACGTGACCTCTCTTTATGCCTACCTTCCCGGCTTCTGTCATGGGATGCAGTGAACGATCCCATGGCATTCCCAGTCTGCTCTATCTCCATAATGCTTGTGGATCCCGATCTAGGACAGATTGCGGACCTCATCAGGCCACCCACATCGTGAACCGCTGCGGTGTCAGCCTCAGCAGCCCAATTATTAGCAGGGGCCACAAGGGACTTGCATGATGGTAGAATAGCGCGGGCCACTGGTAATTTAGTCGTGCCATCGCCCGCTGTCTTTTCTGGAGTCTTAAGTTGTTTTAAAGCGGCAGCTCCAGGATAAACTTTTTTAGTTGATTTCTGCATATTCACTTAAAGTTCAGGAGATGATCCAGATCAATTGTAGAAAGATTTTTTTAAGGAACATAGGGTTTTTGATCATTTGAAAGCTCAGTGTCCCAGGATGAATCCTAAAAGGCAGTCACTGTGTTTACTGGCAAAGCCACGCCCCTCAATTCATTTTCCTATAATTCATTATAATATTCCAGCAGCTTAGAGTTTACGAAACATGACGGGAGCAGCAAGCAATATTCTTTAACTTCAAATTGCATCAGCTGCAAAAGTGAATAAAGTCATATCAAGCTTCAATTTTGGCAATGTCTACATGCCAAGTTATGTTGGTGTGTTGCCAAAAACTATTTTCCAGCAGATGTCTTTGTACCTGTAAGATATGCATATTTTGATGCTGATCAAAGCTGTCACGGTTCTCACCTGTTAGACAGACGGCAAGACGTGGTCGCTCTTGGAGTTCCCAACAGGGGACTTGAACCGGGGATCTTCTCAGTCCTGGTCCTGCTTTCTACCTCTGAGCCACAGCAGCTATTTACAGTGAAGACTGATTCCAGTCCTGTTCATCCTGACATGGCTACTACTCTGGGGGCTGCACCTTGACTTGGCTGTGTTTCACCTGACTCTGATCAGTCATCAGCAGGGTATATAAACCCAGCCTCGCCCTGTGCTCAGGGTCAAGTCTTTGATCCTGTTTGTTCCAGTGTTCCTGTTTCATCGCTTCGCATTATTGACCCCGGCTTCCTGACTCGTTTATTCTGACTTCTGGCATCCCTTGACTTCGGCTACTCCTCGTTGTTCCTGTCCTCTGGCATCCTTTGACCTCGGCTATCCCTCGACCATCCTGCTGGTTCAGTCCTTGCCTGTCCTGCGTATTGGTACTGCATCCTGCACAGCCCCCGTGCACAGACCCACAGGCCAGGTGAATTCTTACCTGACCACCTCGGCCTGTGGCTATCTGCAAGGGTGAGCATCATATCTGCGCTACAGACTCCCAACTCAGGTAAGACCCTGACATAAGGACTTGACCATCATGGAGTCCGCAGAGATGTGCTCACCCTCGACCCAGCGTGTGTCCAGCCTGGCCCAGACTGTTTCGGAGCTGCAGCAAGAAATTTTATTCCTTAAAGGCGCAGTACATCCGGCCCCGGAACCAGCTTTTCCTGAACCGTTTGTCATCATGCCCGACCGATTTGATGGTAGCCGCACATCCTTTCAGTCTTTCAAGATGGATTGTGAGGTGTTGTTTTCCTTAAAGCCTCGAACATATGCCACAGAATTCATCAGGGTCAGAGCGGCTATCAACCTGTTGTCTGGACGCATCAAAGTTTGGGCTCACCAAATGTTGCAGACGAAGAGTCCTGTCCTGGTCAGCTGGGAATCCTTTAGTACTGCTATGGACTCACAATGTAAGACCACTGTGGCCAAGTCAGCTCCACGTACTAAAAAATCTCAGACTCTTCCTAACCAAGAAACCGAGTACCACCACTACGCCCCAGAAATGCCTCCTTATGTTCCAGCTCCCAGGAAAACTCCAGAGGTATCCGGTGTTCCACTTGACCCTGTGGAACCTATGCAATTAGGACTCGTCCACTGCAAGGTGACACCTAAGGAAAAAGACCGAAGGAGAAGCTATGGCCTATGTTGTTACTGTGGAGAAAAAGGGCACTTCATCACGCTTTGTCCTGTTCGCCCTCCTAGACCTCCAGCTCTCCGACTTGGTACTAGTTTCCTTCGCCCTGTGTACACCGCATACCAGCCTAAAAAGCCAAATAGAAGCCGTTGTGCTTGCACATGCTTGGCTTCCGCGAGAAAACCTCCATCCCCTGCTCCAGAGCCTCCTGCATCTACTCCCGAAGTTGCTTCCTGTGATACCACCACTACTTCCTGCCCGCCCGAAGAGGTTTTACCTGTGGATTGTGCCGTTGCTTCTAATGGCACTATAGTCCGTAAAGAAGACCTTGCAATGTTCGAAAAAGCATTGTTAGCTGCGAACACTGCCCCTGCCAAAGTTTTGGAAGTGCTTGCCACCTGTACCCGGAACCTAAAAGACCTGGACAATTCTCCAGCCGTACCAGAAGCTGGTACTGCGGACTCCCAAGCTGTAAAGGGAATCCTTGCTGGGGAGTTTGACTATGGGGACTCACTGGATTCAGATAGTGACCCTGGAGAGGTGTACTATGCTGACAATGAACCCATTCACGCCCGGAGGTCGTTTTTAAAGGGGGGGGTACTGTCACGGTTCTCACCTGATAGACAGACGGCAAGACGTGGTCGCTCTTGGAGTTCCCAACAGGGGACTTGAACCGGGGATCTTCTCAGTCCTGGTCCTGCTTTCTACCTCTGAGCCACAGCAGCTATTTACAGTGAAGACTGATTCCAGTCCTGTTCATCCTGACATGGCTACTACTCTGGGGGCTGCACCTTGACTTGGCTGTGTTTCACCTGACTCTGATCAGTCATCAGCAGGGTATATAAACCCAGCCTCGCCCTGTGCTCAGTGTCAAGTCTTTGATCCTGTTTGTTCCAGTGTTCCTGTTTCATCGCTTCGCATTATTGACCCCGGCTTCCTGACTCGTTTATTCTGACTTCTGGCATCCCTTGACTTCGGCTACTCCTCGTTGTTCCTGTCCTCTGGCATCCTTTCACCTCGGCTATCCCTCGACCATCCTGCTGGTTCAGTCCTTGCCTGTCCTGCGTATTGGTACTGCATCCTGCACAGCCCCCGTGCACAGACCCACAGGCCAGGTGAATTCTTACCTGACCACCTCGGCCTGTGGCTATCTGCAAGGGTGAGCATCATATCTGCGCTACAGACTCCCAACTCAGGTAAGACCCTGACAAAAGCAAAGGCTCTCATTTTAGAATATTGTATATGGAAATATATAGTGCAAAGCAAACAGGCTTTTAATTCTTTATATGCAGTCTAAGGAAATTTACTGTGCACTTACTGGAACTGGTGATGTGTTGGAGAATGTAAAGAGCTGGAATCAGTTTTTTATAGCCAGCACTGTGGGAAAACATAGCAAATGGTAAATAAAGCAGTAAAACCTAAAAATGATTTGCAGAGACTCAAGTGAAATATTTTAGTTCAAATGAATATAAAATTAGCTGAGGCATCACCATTTTTAGGATCCTCTCCAGTGATGTATTCATTTTGACACTATATCATAAAAGAAACAGGGTATAAAATACTTACCAACCTTAAAATGAAAGCCGAAGAAACTTAGTTTATTCAAAGACCTTAAAAATGAACATTCCAAGCACAATCACCACTACAGCTGATTTCAATGGTTATGGTGGCAAGAGTGCCCTGGCACAACCCCCATTCGTAAGTAGTCATATCATTTCTGAATGGTTTAAATTCTTATTTGCAGTCTAATGGCTGCCACTTCTAATGCCAGAGAACCAAAAACTGCTCACCTGAGTTAATCACTGTAGTGGCGGGCTTAGCTGATTGGCTGAGAGTGGTTAGACAATGAACTTTTATAACTCTGTATAAATGTGAAACAAAATTTTTATTTGATTTATTTGATATATTTTTTGAGCAGATATTTTTTTTTGTGCACAACCACTGCGATTTTTAATCCATTGCCCATTGATATAATAAATGGGTTCTCCTTAAAATTTATTTGAGCTATTGGCGATTGCATTGGTCATTATACTATTTTGCCATTTTGCCATTTATTATTGTTAGACCAGAATAGATTATTGTTTATTATTGTGCTTGGCCAGAATAGGGATCATAGGGCTAACAGTAATAAATGACAACGTTTAGATCCGGGGCTATTCATAGAAACATAGAAACGTAGAATGTGACGGCAGATAAGAACCATTCGGTCCATCTAGTCTGCCCAATTTTCTAAATACTTTCATTAGTCCCTAGTCTTATCTTATAGTTAGGATAGACTTATGCCTATCCAACGCATGCTTAAACTCCTTTAGGGTGTTCTGGTCTCCGTATGGATGCGTGGGCTCAAATCCCACTACTGACAAGAGTGTCTTTCTTTAGATTTACGCAATACTCTTCTCATAGCCGGTAATCCTGTTTGGGTCTCCCTATAGAGACTAAGTTGAAATCCCACATTTGCCACAGCTGGCTTCTCTTTTGATCTTCTTCAAATATATCCCTCTGTTTCTGATGACTTTATTTGATGGTTTGCTTTAAATGATTTGAAGGAAACTGCCCATTTTCTTATATTTGTAGTAGTTTTCCATCATAGGGTTGTTTGATTTAGTCTAACGCACCAATTTTTATAATTAAAAGTAACAAAGAAACTTGCACCTTTTCAGAAGAACATGACAAGCTTCTGCATTGGTGTTTGAAACTGCACAAATATCGACCACGAAGGGACTTGATCCCTCAATCTTCAGATTCAAAGTCAGACACCTTATCCACTAGGCCACGCGGTCTCAATTCATCCACCTACTCAGGGTTCTAGTCCTGGTCAGCCTCCCACTGCCGAGGCCACAGGAATAGTCAGTGAGAGGCATCTTTTTTGTAAGTAAAGAACATTGAATAAATTGTGGTTGACTCTATTGACTGATATAATGTGGCACAGAAACAAATGACCCTAAAACCATCTTGTGGGCAAAAAGCATGTACTCAACTTTTTGCGCTCTCAATGCAGACTCATAGGGTTTTTGCAACAAGCTCTATGTAGCAGGCTGATATATAGGTAATCACTAGCTTTCTTTTTTTATTTACTAACGTAAAAAACATAAACATATTGATTACAGTTTAATTACAGTTTATCCTTGAAGTGAGGACAAACAATACATAGAACCCCTAAAGCTCCTACAAGTCACCGACTGATTCTTTGTTCTGAAGGTGTACTATAAAATACATGTAGATTCCACAAATTGCAACCAAGAACGTTTCAATGACTATCCCCCATTCACCAGTCTTTGCTTGCAGGTGAATAAGACTGGTTGAGCCCCACTCTATCCTCTAGACCTTTTTTTTTATACTCTGGGTTCTCTTAGAATAGACACTGGGGGGTTTACTGATGTGTTGCTTACTACTGCATGCAATGCCTCTTACACGGTTTCTGTATTGGCTAGCAAATAAATAAGGCACTGGAAGCTTGATTTTTCATTTCTTATGCCATTATTTATTCAATAATACACAAATTGATTATTTAATCCCCCACAATATACACTTGAATTCCAGACAAATTCTGAGTATTGCATTCTTCATCATATATCTCAAAGTTATTCTTCAATTCAGTTCAATTTGACACAGGTATTGCTCTTTCTATATTGATTTATTTTCATTGATATAGTCCATTAGTTCTGGATCAGTAAATAGACTGCACATTCAGATTTCTAAATGTGAGATGCTTAGAAGGAAGGTTTATAAGCATGCTGATACAATGTCAGTCCTTTATTTCCATGGAAAGCAGACAGCATTAATCTATAAAGCCCACATATCTTGCAGTGTTAGTAGACGGGACGTTTAAGTTCTATTGCAAAAAAATGTGCACAGACAATACATTTTAAGGTACAAACAATTATGGCCACTCTGACAATCTATCATTTGATAATTATCTACATGTTAACAGCTGCCGACGATCCATTAAATATGCTGATGGGATCACAATCACACTTTTCCAATGTTTTTAAGAAAACTCTTTTGTCATTTTCAGTTTTGTAAAAAATGTATTATAATCTATGTTAAACAGCCAAGACTAAGTAATCACTTAGTCTTGGCTGTTTAACATAGATTATAAAACATTTTTTACAAAACTGAAAATGACAAAGTTAAAAGAATATATCACTCTGGATAAGATTTATTGACACATTAACTTTTTTTTTTGCTTATCAGATTCAAAAGCCAAAAGGATAAACCACTAACAAAGTTTTTCAACAAATTAACAAATACCCCAACACTTTTCCACATTATCAAGACAAAACACTACATACATATAAAATAATTATTTGATAGGTGGAATTTTATAATGCAGCTCCCAAGATGTGTGTGATGCCAGGTTTTTGAAGCTGTCAATAACCTTCAACCTGTGAAATATCAATCTTGAGGTTGTGTGATTGATGGTAATGTCATGATTAATGATAATACTGATTTCTAAGTAAGATGACATTACTGTCAGAAAATGGTTATGGCATTTTTGTATTTCAATCATGTTGATAACAAACAATCAAGACCCACCCTAGTGCATAAACCATCACCAAACAAAAACACGTTTGGATTGTGAGTCCATTTCTCTGAGATAATGCACCAGGGGCATCATATCTATGCATAGTCTCTCAAGAAGGCCAAGAAGACCAAAGTTATGGATTGTTGCCCTCCACACTAGACCATAATCACTATTTAAATTTTTTCCTGAAACTTTCCTCAGTATTATCCTACCCTACAGATAGCATGGAAGTAAGATGTATTGCACTCATTCATGCAGTGTACTTTGGGTTCTCTTGCTATAGCAAGTTTGACACCCTACCCATTTGTGCTACGATTTATAGTTATCTAGCAGTTAAGAGTTAGACTATGTCCAGATGCCTCACTTGTAATATTAGCTGAAATTAATAATTAAAAAAAAATTTGGAAGTGGGATCAAACATACACAAGGGTTAATTACCAGAGAAAAACAACATGCACAACTGGGGATCGTGATTACTCAATCATTGTCACGATAACTTACCTTTCTCCCACGGACCCACGAGGTGTAGCTCCGGGTGCCAACTACTCCAGATGATGGCACGACATGTCCGATGCCGGCTACTCCATGCACGCTCCCTCTTATGAGGCGGCCCATATGCGCTTACATCATAGCGGCCATGCCGCAAAAAATTGAACTATTCCACGCTCCCTGTCATTTTGGGGGCGTGGATTTAAAACAATAGATGCTCCACTATAAAAGGGCTCCTTTTGCTTTTGTTCAGTGCCCTATTGTGGTTTACAGGTTGTTCCCTCTAGTGCTAGCTTGTTTCTGTCTGTGTATCTTGGTATTTTGACTCAGCTTGTGTGTTTTGACTATTCTTCGTTCTGGTATCCTGACTTGGCTCATTTTCTCATTCATCCTGTTCTCTGGTTCCCTGACTTGGCTAGTCCTTATCGTTATCCTAATCTCTGGTTTCCCTTATCCTTGGCATACCTTGACTATTCTATCTACGTTAAACCCAGCCATTCTAAGGTCCGGTAATATGTTTTCTATTTCGGTTATACTCTGCGTGTTTGGGTCACTTGTCGTGACAATCATACATACAGCTTTGTGTAACGTTACCTTTAATAACATATTCTTGTTTTATTTTTATTTCTAAGTATTAATTGAAATGTGATATGAATTCTCCAGCTATACAAATAAGTCTCAAAAACTGCAAAAATACTTTCTCAACCTCCTTCAGTACATGGTTAACCCCTTAAGGACCAAACTTCTGGAATAAAAGGGAATCATGACATGTCACACGTGTCATGTGTCCTTAAGGGCTTAAAGTGCCATGAGTCCCAACACAGCAAGGTGAACAGATCAGTTTTAGTCTATGTACTGCAAGTATTGTACTGTTTTACAGTGTCACAATATATCCAACAGTTTGTAACTTGTGGGGATTCTATCCCACATCACCACTGCGAACAAAGTGACTGGAATTGCTTGTGTAACAGCATATCCTAGGGCAACACCGTTTGAAAGATACTGTGCCTTTAAAACAAAGCTGTCTTTTTACATGTGGTCCTTTGTTCCTTTGCCTGTTACTTCAATGGCAATGACCTTCAAATGGATTAATCTATTTTCTTGAGGAGGGTGGGTCAACGGCTAGCATTCAGCTGAAACATTGAATCAATTTATATAAAAACAAAGATGGAGAGATTAACCCTAGGTTTTTCCTTTGAGATTTAACTGATTTGTGGAAGTTTTACTGTGAAATGTCACTTCCCAAGCTGAAAAACACCTGCTTGTTCTGATAGACAATACATCATCTGACTTCAGGTTAAACATATAATGCTTTTAAATATGTTTTAATGATGAGGTCAGGTGCATGATGAAGAAATGGGCAGACCTGTTGGATGGTTTTCCACTTTTTCCCCTATAACGCATCATTATTTGATTATATCCGCATGTATAAATAATGTAATTGCAGCACATGAAGACGAAAAAAATATTGTTTTTTTTTTTCTGTAATTTCTGTAATGTAAACAAATTACTTGTGTGTTCCTTATTGTGGCTTAATGCAAATCAAATGACTTTTTGTACTTTGTTACAGAGGACTTTCTGTACTCGGTAAAATCGACCCTCTTTTCATTTGAAATATTAGGAAGTATACAATAGTGGTATTTTTTTTAACTTCACTTTTAAGTCAGTGTTTTAATTTATCTTAGCAGGCAACAATCCTGCAACATGCTACTGGTAACAGTGGCGATTAAAAGTGACAGCTGTCGTGTAGACAGTTTTGATACTCTCTGCAATAAAGTGATATATTTAGGAAATCTGATAGCATTCAGAGTTCAGAGGGGACACAGACAGAGATGGCAAAGAAATTTAGAATACTGCAATCTCCTGACCTTTCCACGTCTCACATTTAAGCCAGACAGTGGGTAACAGATCCAATGAGATTGTCTGTTCTTTTTATTTGCAATAAAATAAATAACTAAAATTCTTAAAAGAGAAGTCAGACATGGGGATGATGGAAAAGAAAAACAGTTGATGTGAAAAGCTATGTCTTTTTTGTTGTTATTGTTTATATTATTTAGTAGCTATGCTGCTCTGGTACCCAGAAGTGTCTGTTTACAAATGATCATTTTCAAGATTTTTAGCATTGTTTATACCTTGCCGGTTTGGAAAGTTTAATGGATTTTGTTAACTAGCCATAAAAATTTTATCGAGTTAATGCCATAATTTTACAAAGAAAATTTGAATAGCAATATTTTTGAAATACAATGCAAATTAAAAAGAAATAAATTAAAAGCAAAATGGTAAATGCATTAAGTTAGAAAAGGACTACTGATTGCTATCCACCTTAAAGTAACCCATCACTAAATTTGCATAGTTTAATTAGTATCAGAGGACAATAAGGAGATAACAGTACAAATGCATGACTGCTGATCCAGAGAAAAACACACCCCCCAACCACCCCCCATTGCCCTCCGTAAATAATAACACTACACCAGAGTTATGGGTAAGGGCAACGGCCACAGCTATATTAATTATTTGACACAGACCAGCTTTCCATCCAACTACCAGCTGTTGAGAGACTTCTCCCAACAGGCAGATACCACTTATTTGTCCATGAGTTCATATCAGCCTGCCTACCGCCATCAGCCCTCGGCAGGCTACGACTCCCCAAGTTGACTCATCCATTTAATTCAATTTCCAATGCGCTGGCCAGGAACACCGCTGCAGCTGTGACAACGAGAAGAAAGAACAAACCAGAACCAAGAAACATACCAAAACAAACACAAT